TATAAAATACCTTGTAATAAATTTAACTAAGGAGGTGAAAGACCTGTAGACTGAAAACTATAAAACATTAATGAAAGAAATTGAAGAAAATACAGATAAGTAAAAACATATTCCATGTTCATGGATTAGGAGAATTAATATTGTTAATATCCATACTACCCAAAATAATATACAGATTCAGTGCAATCCCTACCAAAATTTTAATGGCATTTTTCACAGACCTAGAACAAATAATTCTAAAATTTCTAAAAAGTCACAATAGAACCCGAATAAACAAAGCAACCTTGAGAAAGAAAAACAAAGCCTGAAGTATCACACTCCCTGATTTCAAACTATACTACAAAACTGTGGTAATCAAAACAATATACTATTGGCTTATAAACACCCTCATAGATCAATGAAACAGAGTAGAGAGCCCAGAAATAAACCTATATATATACACATATGTATATGTATATATATATATATAGGCAATTAATCAACTGCAAAAGGAGCACAAATATACAGTGAGGAAAGGATAGTCTCTTCAATAAATGGTGTTAGGAATACTGAACAGCTACATACAAAAGAATGAAACTAAACCACTTTATTACACTATACACAAGAATTAACTCAAAATGATTAAAGGCAAATGTAGGACTGGAAACCATAAAATTCCTAGATAAAAACATTGGCAGTAAGCTCCTTGATATTAGGCTTAGTGCTATTTTTTGTTGTTGTTGTTGGTTTTCTTGTTTGTTTGTTTTTGGATCTGATTCCAAATGCAGGGGTAACAAAAGGAAAAATAAATGGATCTACATCAAACTAAAAAAGCTTTTGCATAGTGAGAGAAACCATGAGTGAAATGAAAGGCAACTTGCTGAATGTGATAAGACATTTGCAAATCATATATCTGATAAGAGGTTAATATCCAAAATATATAAAGAACTCATACAAATTAATAGCAACAATATAATCTGATTAAAAAATTGACAGAGGTTCTGAAGAGACATTTTCCTGAAGAAGACATACAGATGGGCAACAGGCACATGAAGATGCTCAGCATCATTAATCATCAGTAATTAATTCAGGGAAATGCAAATCAAAACCACAATGAGATATTACCTCACACTTGTTAGAATGGCTTTCATCAAAAAGACAAGAGATAACAAGTCTTGGCAAAGATGTGAAGAAAAGGGAACCCTCATGCACTGGTGCAGCCACTATAGAAAGTAGTATGGAAGTTCTTCAGTAAACTAAAAATAGAACTACCGTATGATCCAGCAATTCTACTTCTTGTTATCTATCCAAAGAAAACAAAAACACCATTCAAGAGAATTTATTCATCCCTATATTCATTGCAGCATTCTCAGCGATAGTCAAGATAGGAAAACAACCTAAGTATCCATCAATACATGAATGGATAAAGGGGTGCCTGGGGGGCTCAGATGGGTAAGTGTCTGCCTTCAGCTCAGGTCGTGATCTCCAGGTCCTGTGATCAAGTCCCACATCTGGCTCCCAGCTCAGCAGGGAGCCTGCTTCTCCCTCTGCCCCTCCTCCTCTCATTCTGTCTCGCTCTCTCTCAAATAAATAAATACAATCTTAAAAAAATAAATGAATGGATAAAGAAGACATCACACACACACACAATGGTATATTAGTCATGAAAAAAGACTGAAATCTTGCCTTGAGGGTATTATGTTAAGTGAAATAAGTCAGCCAGAGAAAGACAAATGCCACATGATTTCAGTTCTAAGGGCAATCTAAAAAACAAAACAAACAAACACATAAACCAAAATAAAACTGAGACTCATAAATACAGAGAACAGAGTGGTGGTTGCCAGAGGGGAGGGGAGTTGGTAATATGAAATAGGTGAACAGGATCAAGAAGTACAAACTTCCAGTTATAAAATAAGTAAGTCATGGAGATGTGATGTACAGCATAGGGAATTCAGTCAACTTTTTGTTAACTTTGCATGGTGATATAGGGTAATTAGACTTATTATTGTGGTGATCAGTTTGCAGTGTATACAAGTGTCTAATCACTGTGTTGTACACATGAAACTAATATGATATTGTATGTCAATTGTATTTCAGTTTAAAAAATGATGAAATCATTTGTAGTGTTGACTATCAAAGAGAAGTACAGAAAATTTTTACTCCCAATATAGGAGACTCAAATGCCTGAGCCAGCTATCAAAGTTCATCTTACTTTATATTATTAGGAAAGAAATAAAGAGGAAATAATATTTCTGAAAATGATTTCAACTACCAGTAAAATGAGTAGAAGTTTGCTGTTAACCATAGTTATTAGGTTTCTTTTATTACATGGAGGAAACATCTTATAAAGGAAGTAACCTTCAAAAATGATTCTTACTCTTAAATAATAGGACTCCATTTTAACATAAATATGTACTTAAGCAAGAAATATATAAGTAGTATATAAATATATAATACTTAACACCGTGCTTAGCAGTTATGACTATGCATACCTTGGGTGACTCAACATTTAGGCCAATAGAAAAGAAAGAATTTATTGTGTGAGATTTCCTAAGTATTGGAACTACTGTCACAGGGCAATTCTGGTATGAAAGAGGTCATGTCATCTTGGAGATTAATCTTCAACAAATTTATGACTTGCTCTGGCTCAGAAACTTTAGATCAACTGTTATTCAAGGGCAATGTCTAATGTGCAGACTTTAGCCTCACATTTATATGCAAAATTAGTAACTACAGTAGGAACCAAATTGTTTAAAGATTGGATTACTTTAATCCATTTTAGAATACTCTTTTAAGGAGAAGGCTTATCATCTTTTTTTTTTTTTTTAATTATTTAGGGTAAGTTCCCCTGGTGCTCTCTATCTCTGACCCTCTTCCTTCTTTTCATAAAATAAGTTCAATTTTCTTTATTTGGACCATGTATGGCCATACTGTTTTTACTTAGCACCAAACACTGAGTCATCTACATGTTAAGGCCTCAAAATGTATGACTGAAATTGTTCAATGTTCCCACTTTGGGAAATTTTTATAAAGCATTTTGCTTTAACTAGAGAGTATCTTCCCATATTGTGCTTGAAGTTGAAATCTCCTGTGGGTTATAGATAAATGTCTATAAAATCAGCTCCATAGCTTTATAAAAATCTCACCTTAGAACTAGATATGTTGAAATATACTTATTCTTCCTTATCAAGAAGCAAGTTGTAACAGTTGCTTCTAAGAGAGGTTGGCAGGAATGCAGGGTTTTTCCTGAAAATGCTTATATTACAGATAGATACATCAGAGATTTGGGGAGCACATACTACACCATACAGGCTGGTTAGTTCATTAATGTGTGAGGTCATTGAAGATAGACTAAAACACTTTATTTTATTTATTTATTTTTTTTAAAGATTTTATTTATTTATTTGAGAGAGAGAGAATGAGAGAGAGAGAGCACATGAGAGGGGGGAGGGTCAGAGGGAGAAGCAGACTCCCTGCTGAGCAGGGAGCCCGATGTGGGACTCGCTCCCGGGACTCCAGGATCATGACCTGAGCCGAAGGCAGTCGCTTAACCAACTGAGCCACCGAGGCACCCAGACTAAAACACTTTAGCCTGGGACTTGGGTTCTGTAACTTAAAGATGATTCTTTAATCCTTAATGCTCAAGTGAGTGTACTGGATTTCCTTCTTACAGAGATATTATGTTCTGGTGTCACTCAATTTCTTTATTGTCTTTTGGAAAATTTTTCATTAATGTAATATTTATATTTTTCATAGTCATATGGCAGGTGGAATAAAAACTTAGATGAGTGTTGTAATAGTTCCATTCTGAATTGTAACCTTGAATTTGAAATTCTGAGAACTCAGCTTTACATTTGGATCTTTCAAAACTTTTGAAGTTACATAAATGAGCCATAAAAGCAGCCATCTTCAGCTACTAAGGTTGTGAAAACGGAGTCACTGAGACCTGAATTCTGAGGGAATTCTCTGTTTCTGGAACCATGGCCATAGATCTACATAGAGAAGTCTGTTATTTTCAGATTTCAAGAAACATCTTGAAAATAGCCAGTTGAGAAACCCATTAAAATGAAAATGTCCAGAAGTTAAAATGACAGTTGTGAAAAGTAAAACAAAAATAAATAAATTGTTAAGTTCTGAAGCACATTTTTCTTGATCAAAAAGCCCTCCAAAAAGGAAAAAAAAGACAAAAAGACCTCCAAGTAGAGGTTGGAATTGATTCATCAGAGAGAATCTTGTTTCCATTCTGAATGAACTCAACTGCTGGTGTTTTACCTTTAGTGACAAAGTCACATGACCAAAACCTGCAGTGTTGTGTGTACGTACAAATACTGCTTTTATATTTTTCTCAGTGTTTCATAGAAAGACTCTAAAGCAAATAGAAGGATGATTTTTGTTGATCTTGACAAATGTAGTCATAAGAGAAAAGTGGGGACTCATTAGGTAATAATATAACATTTTATGATCATTCCTGCAGTACTGAAAAAAGCAGTGAGATTTTAGAGAAACAAATATTATAAGAATGTAAAATGTACACATGGAAAACAACCCAAAGTGTGCTTGTTGTAATCCAGCTCTTTTTTGAAAATTAACTTATTAATCAAATTCAGTATTACTTTTTCAATGTGATATGAAGTGAAAACAGTAGCACTGGATGCATACTTTTGCACATAGGTGGGTATTGCTATATAGCTGTAACCAGCCTTTAGTCAAGAGCAGATGATGATGGGGCGCCTGGGTGGCTCAGTCGGTTAAGCAGCTGCCTTCGGCTCAGGTCATGATCCTGGGGTCTTGGGATCGAGCCCCACGTCTGGCTCCCTGCTCAGTGGAGAGCCTGCTTCTCCCTCTCCCTCTGCCTGCCACTCTGCCTACTTGTGCTCTCTCTCTATTTCTCTGTCAAACAGATAAATAAAATCTTTTTTTTTTTTTTTTTTTTTTTAAAGAGCAGATGCACACCGAGGAGGGGCTCTTCTCTTTTCTCTGTCTGTTAAAAGGTTCCTGAAATATTTGTCACTGATTCTTAGGTCAAGAGTACAATTTTCTGAAGATGGAGCCTGGAGAAGTGAACTCACTTGGAGAAAGATACGACTTTGACAGTATCATGCACTATGCCAGGAACACCTTCTCAAGGTTGGAGTCTCAGGTTATACCTTTTGACTTTTAATTCCTTTCCTCTGTGTTGCTCCTCACAAAGCTATGTTTAACATTGGAACTAGAACCACATTCAAATACTGTTGCCATTAAGTAGAAAAATACTTGATTGGTATTTATAGCCAACACTAGCATTTGAAATTTTCAAAACATATTTTCACATTTCCTATCAGATACATAAATTCAGAGTAAAAATTAAAATGGTATGAATTATTTAAACTATTTTACATTCCTAAATCACTTTAAAAAGCCCAAATAAAATGATTATTAAATGATCAGCATATTAAATTGGCGTAGCATTATTTAATGAAAATTAGGCATTCACAAATCAAATAGGGTACTTGGTTGTTGAGTTGGAATGTCTACTGTCTATGTGACTTGTGTTTTCTACTCTGTGTCTTCTATTGCTCAAGTACTAGTTATGCTAATTTAATTCTCAAAGAATATATTATGAAGATATTTTACTTCATATAATTTAAAATTTCACAACTTATTAACCTTAAAGTCATTTCATTAAAAGTTTATGCTATTTTTAAAGAACGTAATAAATTTGGGTTTCAGCTACTTTATTCTAAAGATGATGTCATCAAGCAAATAGTTCCCAGGTAAGGAATTTGGATCTGTCAAACCATTGAAGTCATCCCCTGTCCATTTTTGTGCCTATTTTACCCTCTTGTCCATTCCAACTCAATCTTTTTGCCCACTTATATCCATTTCACAATTCATCAAACATCTGTTTCTAAAGGCAGGGGTGGAAAGAAGATAAAAAAAATCAAATTAAAACCCCTCCTTTTTTTAAACATTTTTAAAAAAAGATTTTATTATTTTTTTAAGTAATCTCTACACCCACAGTGGGGCTTGAACCTACAACCCTGAGATGAAGAGTCACATGCTTTACTGACTGAGCAAGCCAGGTGCCCCCTAAAAAATTTCCTGATAAAAAGTAAAGAAAAATGTCTCAAAGGACTCTTAATACTTGGATACATTTTTCAGTTATCCTTTTTGAAAGACAAAACTATTATTTAAAAAATTGAGTGTTAATTGTATTTTAATATAATTATTAATGATATTTAATAATTATTTTCTACTGAAGTGCATATATATTTGCTTAAATATAATAACCACCCAAATACTTATTGTTTCTGGAATTTGAATTTAAGTTTTGGTAGAAATACATCCATAAATTTGGCCTGAAATTAATCTCAAAGAGCTATAAAACTTTATTTTTAGGTCAGTGCTTGGAATTAAATTTTCTGTAGAAACATGTAACAAATGGGATTTGGGTCCCAGTTCAGCCAAGGCGCCTCTCATATACTACTGAATTATTTAGAACTAAACTGACTTTTGATTCTTTGGAACATAGGAGGTAGTGGAAAGTAGAGAAAATAATTCATTCTTTCTGTCTTTGATAGATGATGAATATATACCAAAATTTAAATTATATATTTCCCCTTACTCTGTATTTCTTTTCCATGTTTAAATTTTTTCCTTTCCTTCTTTTCCATAAATCATTCTGCTCTTACTACCTGCAGTCCGTCATCCCCACCATGGTGCTGCATGCCAAGCAGCCTTGACCTATTATTTTGTCTTATTGTTTCAAAATTATCCTATTCAGTTTTCCTAATGAACTTATATTCTTAGAGTGAAAGTAATTATACCTACTTGTTGGAAGAATTGATCCAACCAACATTATTTTATTGTTTTGATCTTTAAAGAGAATGTTTATTAACTCATACATATATTTAAATAACTGAATTCCAGGAGATAAAATATTTGGCACAGTTCTTAGCCACCACCTCCAAAGTATTTGAAGTTTTGTGTGTGTATGTGCGTGTGTGGTTAAAGACACACAACATAAAATTTATAATCTTAACTATTTCTCGGTGTACAGTTTAGTAATGTTAAGTATATTCACATGATTGTGAAACAGATATTCACAACTTTTTCATCTTGCAAAACTGAAACCCTATGCCCATGCCCATTAAACAACAGTGCCCCATTTTCCCCTCTTGGCAGCCTCTGTTAACTACTATTCTACTTTGTGTTTCTGTGAATTTGGATTTAGATATTTTAGATACCTCTTTAAATAGAACCGTACAGTATTTGTCTTTTTGTGCTTGGCTTATTTCACTCAGCACAGTGTTGTCAAGATTTATGCATGTTGCAGCCTGTGACCCAGGATTTCCTTGTTTTAGGGTTGAATAATATACCATTGTAGGTATAGAACATATTTTGTTTATCCATTCATCCACTGATGGGCATTTGAGTTGCTTCCATTTGTTGGCTATTGTGTATAGTGCTGCTATGAATATGGGTATGCAAATATCTTTCCCATACCCTGTTTTCAATTATTTTACATAGATACCCAGAAGTGGGTATCTATACCAGACCATATGGTAGTTCTATTTTTAATTTTTTGAAGAAATGCCATGATGTTTTCTGTAGTAGCTGCACCATTTCAAAATCCCACAGCAGTGCACAAGGGTTCCAATTATTCCATATCCTTACCAACATGTATTATTTTCTATTTCTTTTTTTCCTTTTTTTTTTTAAATAGTATCCATCCATGACATGATGTTTTATTGTGGTTTTGATTTGCATTCTCTGATTAATGATGTTGAACATCTTTTCATGTGCTTTCTGGCCATTTGTGTATCATCTTTGGAGAAATATCTATTTAATTCTTTTGCCCATTTTAAAGTCAGATTAATTTTTTTGTTGTTGAATTGTAGTATTTCTGTATATATTCTGTCTCCTTCTTACATATGTTATTTGCAAATATTTTCTTTTTTTTTCATCTTTGCTACATCGTAGCTTTTTATTTTGATGTAGTTCCACGTACCTATTTTTGCTTTTGTTAATTGTGCTTTGGTGTCATATCCAAGAAATCATTGCCAGATCCAATGTCATGAAGCTTTTCCACTATGTTTTCATGTAAGAGTTTTATAGTTTTGGGGTTTGTGTTTAGGTCTTAAACTGTTTTGAGTTAATTTTTGTACATAGCTTAAATAATTGTCTAACTTCATTCTTTTGCACATGGATATTCAGTTTTCCCAACATCATTTGTTGAATAGATTGTTTTTTTCCCATTGAGTGGTTTTGGCACCCTTGTTGAAGATGATTTACTATATTCATTAGGGTTTATTTCTGAGATTCCTATTCTATTCCATTGGTCTCTAGGTCTATCTTTATACCAGTATCACTGTTTTGATTACTTTAGCTTAGTAATGTGTTTTGAAATCAGGATGTGTGAGTCCTCCAGCTTTGTTCTTTTTCACAGTTTTTTGGCTATTTGAGGTTCTGTGACATTCCATACGAATTTTAGAACTTTTTAAATTTCTGCAATAAATGCCATTGGGATTTTGATAGAAATTGTGGCTGGATCTGTAGATCATTTTAAGTAGTGTGGACATCTTAACAAACTAAGTTGTTTAATCCATAAAAAATGGAATGTCTTTCCATTCATTTGTGTCTTCTCTAATTTCTTTGAGCAATGTTTTGTAGTTTTTAGTGTACAAATCTTTCACTTTTTTGGTTGGGTTTATTCCTAAGTACTTTGTTCTTTTTAATGCTATTTTAAATGGAATTGTTTTTCTTAATTTCCTTTTCAGATTGTTCATTGCTATTGTATGAAACCACAACTGATTTTTTGTGTGTTGATTTTTATTCCACAACTTTGCTAGATTTGTTTATTAGTTCTCTCTTTTTTTTGTGGACTCTGGGGTTTTCGACATGTAAGATTACATGATCTGCAAAGAGAGATGGTTTTAATTCCATCCTATTTAGATGTCTTTTACTTCTTTTCCTTGCCTAATTGCTCTGGCTACAACTTTCAGTACTTTGAATAGAAACAGTGAAAGCAGGCATTTCTGCCTTGTTCTTGATCTTAGATGAAAAACTTTCAGTTTTTTAGCACTGAGTATGTTGTTTGCTGTAGGCTTTTCATTTATGTTCTTTATTATGTGGAGACAGTTTCCTTCTATTCCTAGTGTGTTGAAAGTTTTTATCATGAAATGTCTTTGAATTTTGTCAAATGCTTTTTCTACATTAATTAGATGAACATGTGGTTTTTGTTCTTCGTTCTGTTAATGCAAGTATTTGAAATTTTATATTTTCTTCTGAACCCAGGGAGTCTATAAAAAGTTTCAGTTGTCTTTATGGATGTAGCCCATCAGCAGATTTAGGTACTTACTTTTAGGAAGAATAGGGCTAGATATATGTGGTCTTTATATGCATGGGTAATTTGTAATGTAGAGGCTTGCTAACTGGTATTGCTTATTTTTCTTTAATGAAGGAACTGCAAAATTTTACAAAGTTTCTTAAAGAAGCATAGCTAATTCACTCTTCTAATGTAGGTAGAACAAATGAAGATTAGTAAGTGAAGCTCTTTGTAATCTGTCTCTGGACTATTGATAGTGCCTCACTGAGGATATTCAGCAAGAGCCTGTATTGCTTAACAGGCCTGGAAGTGGAGGGAGAGAATTGTCAACTTCTTGACTGCAAAGGAAGAACAAAACAAAGCGTGACTTACCCCCTTCCGAATGGAAGAGAAGGTACCTCAGTAGAGAGGAGTCAAAATTCATCATTCTATTGTCTGAGTTTGAATATATCTATGTCAAGATGTCCTTGACCTTTTTAAATCGAACTGTTTTAAAAATTGGAAAAAGTGAACCTTTTAAAGTTTTCAAATCTGATTTTAGAATTAGAAAATAATGAATATTTTTTAAAGATTTATTTATTTATTTGACAGAGAGAGGCAGCGAGAGAGGGAACACAAGCAGGGGGAGTGGGAGAGGGAAAGCAGGAGCAGGGAGCCCGATGTGGGACTTGATCCCAGGACCCTGGGATAACGACCTGAGCTGAAGTATCACGACTTGAGCCGAAGGCAGACGCTTAACAACTGAGCTACCCAGGTGCCCCTAGAAAATAGTATTTTGTTGGTACCAAAGTACTGCAGAAATGGTAACCCTACATTAATTTGGACTTACCTACTTAAAATATCTGTTGATTTGTGAAGTATAGTTGAAGAATGGCTTTTCTCAATACTACCCTATTTTATAGCTCAACTTCTCCTTCAATTGCATTGACCTAGCTAGAGTTGCATCTTATTATGAGCAACCTCTCACTTTTGCTGGTCTACTCCCATAAGTTATCATCAGTTCCCCTCCCTCCCTTTATCTCAAGCAATATGCATGTGGAGTTCTGTAGATACTTAGATTTGTAAAGAGTTCCATTTTTTATTTGTGTTATCCAGGTTTTATCTATAAAGATCACTACCCTTACCTAGAAGCCAGAGAGGTTAGTCATAAAGCACTCATGGATCATGTCACTCCTCTGTTTACCATCTTCCAGATGGTAACAGTTTTCCTTAGGCTAAAGTCACATTCTCTGTGTGACACTCAAACACTTTAAGGATCCTCCCATCTCTGAGCAGTTGAATTTCCTGTTCGTTCTTTCTGGAAGTTTCTAATCCCATTTACTCACAGTGCCTTCACTCTCACTTCCTTCATGTTTGGCCAAAATGTCAACTTCCATGTGAGTTTTTCTTTGATCACTCTATTTAAAAACTACCCCATCACTGGATAATCAATGTCCATCTTCACTTCTTTTTCTCTGTAGGACCTGTCACTATCTCAGTACTCAATCTTTTGTTTAATGTCTCTTGCCCTACATTAAAATGTGAGAATCATAAAGAACCATTTTATTAATGGCTATAAATCCAGACCTACAACAGTGCTTAGGAAATATTTCCTAAAGGAAGGGATAGAGACGAAATTTTCTTTTAACCTGTAGTCTAAATACAATTTATTCATTAAAATTTTGGAAAGGAGTATCATGCCTTTCATCCTAATTTAAAACATTTTTTTTTACAATTGTATTTCTTAATTTCAAATACTTTTATAGAAAGCTTCTCTTTTTCTTGAAATCCTTCTTACCACTGGAATAGTTTCCCAGTCCATTTAACTTTTAAGCTCAGTTCTTCCTTTAGAGTTATAAATGTTGATATTCATTGCAAAATTAAGACTACATCTTTAATGCATTATATTCAGAATTTTTAGTTTTGAAGATGGAGAAAGGTAGTATCACAACCTTGGGTATCTCACAACTTGGTATGTCTAGCTTAGCATTATTAGGGCTTTGCCATTGCTAGTTTTTTTTCTTCTTAATTTTACCATGAAAATTTTATTCTCTTTGTGTCTCTATGTGTATGTGTATCAAAAAACTATTTTGCTTAAAATGTTCTTTCTAAAATTTGATACGCTGTTTTTTCCTGTTCTTTTAACATACTGTAATAGTTGGACTTCTAAGAATACATAGGTTAAATTAATAAGTTAACTAAAAAAATAACACTTTTTGGCTTTTACAATTTTAGTAACCTCAAAAATATGTATCGTAGGTTGTCCTTAAAAAATAGACTTCTATGAGGCAAAATTGTTTTACAATTTACTAATCCAAGTAGTTCTTAGATTTGCTTAAAAACCTAAAAAAAGCCACGGTATATTTGGTGGGGGACTATATAGAATTCTAGATTTTTAAAATCATTTCATTGACTTTTGCTAGGTATACAATTTGGCACAACTTTTTTTCCCTACCTTGATAAAAATGTTTTGAAAGTCTGGCACACTATTTGAAGCTCAACACTGATGTATTTTCCCTTTAGCTGACATGAGTCTGAAAAAAGATAATTATATATACTTATACGTGTAAGGAATGTATGTGTCTTAATTTGGTGACTTATGTGTGGCTTGCTTCTGATTTTTTTCAGGGGGATGTTTCTGGATACTATTCTCCCCTCTCGTGATGATAATGGCATACGTCCTGCAATTGGTCAGCGAACCCGTTTAAGCAAAGGAGATATTGCACAGGCAAGAAAGCTGTACAGATGTCCAGGTACTGCACCGTACCAAAGCAGAGCCATTATACTGCACCGTCCGAAAGCAGAGCCATTATACTGCACCGTACCAAAGCAGAGCCATTAACCTGCACCGTACGAAAGCAGAGCCATTATACTGCACTGTACGATAGCAGAGCCATTATACTGCACCCTACCAATACTGCACTGTACCAAAGCAGAGCCATAATTGTGCCTGATTGTGCTGTTCCAGATGAGTAAGCCACAATTCCCTGAACTGTTTACTTGTGTCTCTCCATGCTGGCAAGTGACGTTTTTAGTTCAAAGTCAGTAATCATAAAATGAAATGAGAGAACTCTGGAACACCCATTGATATAATTAAAAACAAATTGCTAGAAATCAAATTTAAGCAGGGATAGTATTTTTTTTCTTTTAACCTAACAAGTAAAAGAGCAAAAAGCATGATTGTTTGATAGTGTTATTAAACAGTTGCAGGATTTCATAGTCAAATGTTGAGTTAACTTGCCAACATAAAAAGAATATCCTTTATTTCAACTTCAGAATTGAGGACTGAATGATCTTTTTCTTGCAAGTACCACCATTAATGATATATGAATTAAAATTTTATTAGTTGGAATTTATAACGTTGTTGCAAAAAAGGAGTTCTAACCATGTTGCTAGTGAGTTACCATATGTTTTGCTACTGGTTAAAGTTATGAAAAAGAGATTAAGGGAAGTTCTTAATAAGACTGTTCCAAGAGAACACCAGTGACTTATTGGTTCAAAAAAGAAAAAAGAATCTGCTTTCAAATTGGAAATGCTGCATACTCTATGCAACTCCTGCATAGTCAAAATCCTTTGAAATAGCATATATCAAAGAAATATGTTTTTAACTTTGGTTAGCACAGCTCTTCTCCAAATTTTTGTTCATGTATATATGTAAATTATACATGTATGTGTGGTATATTTTTAAATCTAAATTTCCTTAGGGAAGATGTATTTGTAAGTAAATGGCACCACTGTGACAAAAGAAATGAGTGATCCTTGGCTAATTTCTGGTAGTATTGGATGTATGATACTTTTTTTTTATTATGTTATGTTAATCATCATATGTGACATCATTAGTTTTTGATGTAGTGTTCCATGATTCATTGTTTGTGTATAACACCAGTGCTCCATTCAGTACGTGCCCTCTTTAATACCCATCACCAGGCTAACCCATCCCCCCACCCCCCTCCCCTCTAGAACCCTCAGTTTGTTTCTCAGAGTCCATAGTCCATATGATACTTTCTAACTTTGAAAGTAGAAGATTTGGGGGAAGATTGTGTGTTAATAGCAACTAAGTAAACAGTTCACATGGAAAAATATTTTGTCTCTCTAAATACGTGTGTGTGTGTGTATGTGTGTATGTGTTTGTCTGTATATATATATATGTATATATATATATTTATTTATATATCACTTAAAAAGCACACTGGAAATGCATTTAGAACACTGAATTGTAGGAAAGTCAGTCAGTAGGAATCAGAAAAGTAATCAAACTTATGACACTATAATTTTCAGCCTATAGCTCTTAAATATTTAAGTTACCAATGTGAAGATACATACACACTTGAGAGTTTATTTATGTAAACACATAAACCAAGCTATTTTCTTACTTGAGACATAGTAATAATGTGTACATTAGTTTGTTAATACAGTAAAACCACATTCATGAAGGTACTATCATCAATGAGAAAGATATCTTGTGTTTCTAAAGCAGTATGAGAAAGTTGCTTATTTATTTACATAAGTAAGAGAGAGCTAAGACATATAAATATGTATTTTAAAATAAAATAAATAAATAAAATAAAATAAATAAAATAAATAAAATAAAACTATGTAAACTTTTAGTTCACAGAATCTTTAAGAATGATTTTGGACTTTTTAATACCCACCAAACAAGTCCCTCCCTTTCTCTCTTTTTTCTGTCTCTTGCTCTTTCTGTTTCTTTCTCTCTCCCTCTCGGCCCGTGTGCGTGTGTACGTGTGCATGTGCGTGTGCGTGTGCATGCGTGTGTGTGTGTGTGAAGCCCTTAGCTTTGAGGCTTGAGCCTTGTATATGGTTATGAATTTAACATTCTTCGTTTCTTTACAATAGAGAACACTAATGATATAGGTAGAAATGTAGGCCAAATAAACTTAAGTTACACTGGTAACAGTAAGTTCACCAGTAGCTCCAAGAACATTAATGGAACAATGTGAAAGATTGATAACTGTACATAGAAGTGTAAATAGGATGACTTATTTGAGAATCATCTAGGAAGAATGTAGGAGTTTATAAAATGAAATCTGGTTGTGTCTTGGCTTTAATACAGAAAGGAGAGAGTTATAAAACTGCATAGTCCTTTGGAGTTTATCTTACTGTTTTCTTTTGTTAGAAATTGCTGATGAATACAGCCAATCAGAGGTATCTGGCTACATTACTCCAACTCTTTACTTCTTATCAGTTTACCCTCAAAGCTGTTTTGGGTCTGCATTTTATAAAGTTATTCCTTAAGAGTTGAATCTTGAAAGGAATACCGACCTGGTTCACACTTAAATATCTAAGGTTGTAGCTTTTATGGTCCATGATAAGTGGGGCCCTGAGTCTAAGAGGGTAGGTTTCTAATAGGCAGGTAATAGTAGGTAGACTGTAAATATTACTGCCTTTCCATTAATGATATAGGAAATGTGTTTTTATCTATCAGAAGATGAACAGCATTAAGATGTATGCATTTTTAATTCCCTTAAAACAATATAAACTGCTATTTTTTATGAGACTTTCTAGCTGGTAAACAACTTGTAATCCATTATTATATATATCTACTTATATATGCCAAATATATAAATTAGATTTGTATGGGAAACCTGAATTACTCATTGTATAGTCGGTGCATACTAATCATGAAAAAGCTCCATGTAGGACTAAAGTTGTGTTTTTTAAGGTGATGGAATGAAGATAAGTTTCTTTTAGTTTAGAATTATTTTCATTGCCATTTTTTGTTCTTTTAGAAGCAGGCAAGAAAGATCTCCTTATGCACTGTTAATGTAGAGAAAGAATATGATCCTTTACAGCCTTGGCACTCTTCTGACATGAGACCCCATCATCCATCGCCAGACCACATTCCGGAAAGGAGAAGGAAGGGAAAGAAAGGGAGAGCTGCCCAACCCTGGGATTGAATAGGTTTCTGGACAGTGCTGCCCAAAGGCCAGTCCTGTGTCCTTCCCACAGCTTCCAGGTCTTTCTAGCATTAAGGCATCTAAAAGGACACCTGCTAATGCTACTTTACGTACCTGCCATTATAATCCCTTGCATTCTACACACTGTCAAGATTGTCCCCCAAGCTAAGGCAAAAATTAACAGTTTGCTCTTGAGGGAGATCTTCTCTAGGCTGTCTGAATTGCAGTGGATATTTTTCTCTTCATAAATCAGTAATGGGTACTACTGTTCTCTCTCTTTGAGGGCCTTGTTTTTCCTGTGACTCCTTTTTTAAATGTATTTTTTTCTATTTGATCTAATCTAAGGATTACTTTCATTTTTGATTTCTTTTTTTAAATTTTTTATTGTTAAGTTAATCACCAAATACTACATCATTAGTTTTTGATGTAGTGTTCCATGATTCATTGTTTGTGCATAACACCCAGTGCTCCACGCAGAATGTGCCCTCTTTAATACCCATCACCAGGCTAACCCATCCCCCCTACCCTCCTCCACTCTAGAACCCTCAGTTTGTTTTTCAGAGTCCATCGTCTCTCATGGTTCGTCTCCTCGTCTGACTTACTCCCCTTCATTCTTCCCCTCCTGCTATCTTCTTTTTCTTTTTTCTTAACATATGTTGCATTATTTGTTTCAGAAGTACAGATCTGTGATTCAACAGTCTTGCACAATTCACAGCGCTCACCATAGCACATACCCTACCCAATGTCTATCACCCAGCCACCCCATCCCTCCCACTCCCCACCACTCCAGCAACACTCAGTTAGTTTCCTGAGAATAAGAATTCCTCATATCAGTGAGGTCATATGATACATGTCTTTCTCTGATTGACTTATTTCACTCAGCATAACACCCTCCAGTTCCATCCACGTCATTGCAAATGGCAAGATCTCATTCCTTTTGATGGCTGCATAATATTCCATTGTGTAAATATACCACATCTTCTTTATCCATTCATCTGTCGATGGACATCTTGGCTCTTTCCACAGTTTGGCTATTGTGGACATTGCTGCTATAAACATTGGGGTGCACGTACCCCTTCGGATCCCTACATTTGTATCTTTGGGGTAAATACCCAGTAGTGCAAATGCTGGATCATATGGCAGCTCTATTTTCAACTGTTTGAGGAACCTCCATACTGTTTTCCAGAATGTATGCACCAGCTTGCATTCCCACCAACAGTGTAGGAGGGTTCCCCTTTCTCCGCATCCCCGCCAACTTCTGTCATTTCTTGACTTGTTAATTTTAGCCATTTGACTGGTGTGAGGTGGTATCTCATTGAGGTTTTGATTTGGATTTCCCTGATGCCGAGCGATGTTGAGCACTTTTTCATGTGTCTGTTGGCCATTTGGATGTCTTCTTTGGAAAAATGTCTGTTCATGTCTTCTGCCCATTTCTTGATTGGATTATTTGTTCTTTGGGTGTTGAGTTTGATAAATTCTTTATAGATTTTGGATAGTAGCCCTTTATCTGATATATCATTTGCAAATATTTTCTCCCATTCTGTAGGTTGTCTTTTGGTTTTGTGGACTGTTTCTTTTGTTGTGCAAAAGCTTTTTATCTTGATGAAATCCCAATAGTTCATTTTTGCCCTTGCTTCCCTTGCCTTTGGCAATGTTTCTAGGAAGAAGTTGCTGCAGCTGAGGTCGAAGAGGTTGCTGCCTGTGTTCTCCTTTAGGATTTTGATGGACTCCTGTCTCACGTTTAGGTCTTTCAAACTTTGGAGTCTATTTTTGTGTGTGGTGTAAGGAAATGGTCCAGTTTGATTCTTCTGCATGTGGCTGTCCAATTTTCCCAGCAC